AGATCGGGGGTAAGGAAGGAGGTGTTGCTGTGTCTTCGTACAACACCCTAGCACAATTGGACCCAGGGCCAGACCTGGTGCTCCTAGGCATTACCCTGCTACAAATCGTAATGAAAGATGTTTGTGTGTGAATTAAATACCTGCTACGTAAAGCCCAGCTGGGTACGGAACAGCAGGACGTGACTCTAGGAAGTGGATTGGGGTGATAAAGAGTCATAAGAAGGACAATAGTTTCCTACCTGAACCACTGGGCCGAGGAGGAATTGAAATGCTGGTATTACTTGCTTCCGGGCAGTCATATAGAGCATTACATTGGAGAGAGCCATGACAAGAGGCATCTCTCTACCCAGAAGAGAGAGACCTTTCAGACACAGATTTGGCCGCTACCTATGGGGCTCATGTGCTCACCAAAGGGAGTGAGAAATCCCTGTCAGGTGAAGGAATGTCAGACGCTTCATGTGGGAGATAACTCTCAAGCAGCGGGTGTGCCGTCCCTGTGGTTTCAGTGCAGGGCTCTCAAGTGGGCTCTGTGTCCGTAGGGTGGGGGGGAGCGAATCGGCCGGTGGGGAGCAGGACTAACCCGGGCACATGCAGATCCCAGGGCGCTGCCTGTCCCACGCACGGTCCCGGCGAAGCACAAGCGAGTCCGGCCACAGCTCCACAACGCACTTGAACAGCGCTCAGGAGCACGGACAGGTAGCAACAGTTTGAGAGCCGAACAAAGCTGCTGCTGGAGCTACTGAGTAAGTGTAGCAGATCAGTGCTTTTTTAAAAGTAAGCCTAGAAATAAATCCAGTGAGATCACCACAGTTACAGTCGTTCCTAATTTAAGAGACGGGTCAGCAGGATTAGAACTAAATAAATACATGAAGGCTAGGACTATCAATGGCTATGGGCAGGCACGGTGTCCCTAGCCTCTCTGTGTCAGGAGCTGGGAATAGCGAATGGATCACTTGATGAGATCCTGTTCTGTTCATTGGCCACTGTCGGAACACTGGATAAGGACTAGCTGGACCACTGGTCTGACCAGTATGGCCAATCTTAGGTTCAACAAATGGGGATCCGAGTACACTTGTCTTGTGACACAGTGGTAGAGTCCCTGAATAGGCAAAATACAGTTGTTACCATTTTGGAACTTCTTATGTCAAGTTGTGCATAGCACAGACCAAACTGGACACTCCGTTTCCTCCCTGCAACCATGGAGCTGTGTGAGAGCCAATTAGTGCTGGATTTGGCCTCTTGGGTCCCTGCAGCACACACAAAGCGTACGTCTACGCAGCTCGCCTATTTCAAAATAAGCTATTTCGGAATTTTTTTCCAAAATAGCTTATTTCGAGAATAGCACGTCTACACAACAGAGAAGCCTCAAAACTGGTCCGAGACAGGCTTCTCTAATGTGGACGTGCTACCTCGAATTAGAGCCCCAGGAGGCACTGGGGAGTAATTACTTTGAATGGCCCCGGGGAGGCGCTAATTCAAACTAGCAGCAGTGGCGTGTCCACACTGTAGCTATTCCGAAGTCGCTATGTTGGAATAAGTATTATTCCTCGTGGAATGAGGTTCACAGATTTTGAAATAAGCCAGCCGTTATTTTGAAAGTATTTCGAAATTGCCGTGTAGACACTTGCATTGTGATTTGTAAATAATGGCCGTTATTTTGAAACTAGCCAATTAGCCTGTCATAAGACGGGATTTTCAGGTCTCTCCTCCACATCGGTCTTTTCTCCTGCGCCTCCGGTCTCTCTCTCTCCTTCTCCTACTGCCTCCCACTCTCTCTCTCTCTCCGCTCCCCTCTGCCTCCTGCCTCTCTCTCTGTCTCTCTCTTTCTCTTCTCCTCCCCCCCCTGCCTCTCACTCAGTGGACCATGCTGCATGGGGAGCGCGGAGCCCAAACTGTCGCTTGCGCCCCTTGCTCCCACGCGGCAGCCTGGCTGAGCAGGGCAGAAGTCAGCCAAGCGCCACGGTGGAAGGCGAAGGGGGGCGGGGCAGTGACGTTTACGGCCAGGGGGCGGGGCCTGGAGCTGCTGTCATACTGCACGTCACCCCCGCCCCTTGGCACCTCAGAGTGGCCCTCGGCTGACTTCTGTGCCGCTCAGTTGGGCCACCGTGTGGGAGCAAGTGGCCGTTTGGGTTCCCCTGCAGTGCCCGGCTTAGCGGCACAGAAGTCAGCCGAGCATCACAGTGGGAGGTGAAGGGGGCGGGGCAGTGACGTGCGGCATGACAGTGGCTCCAGGCCCCGCACTCCCCATGCAGCACGGGCCGCCCAGAGGGAACAGCCAGCATTTCAGCAACAGCGCCCCCCAGAGGGAACAGCCAGCATTTCAGGCAACAGCGCCCCCCGGAGGGAACAGCCAGCATTTCAGCGTTACAGACTCTGGGCTACTATATATATGATAACTGTGCTGTGTAGACACCCCCTGACACAGCCCATACCGGGGACCCTTCTGGGGTCTCATGTTATGGGCTTGATGCAAAAGCCACTTGCTGAAGTTCTCTGGCCTGGGAGGTCAAACTAGATGATCAGAATGGTCCCTCCTGGTCCAAAAAAAAAACTATAGCTACTACTATCGCTACTACTGAACAGAGTCACTCCTTTAGCTCAGTGGTAGAGATCTGTACTATGGGCAGGGCTTGACAAACTATGTAATCTACTCGCCCATGGTGAGTAGATTACAACCCGGAAGAGCCGGATTCGGGCGATCGCCGGAGAGCGCGGCTGGCGAGCGGGGCTCGCCGCGGTTTGGCGAGCCCTGACTATGGGTATGAATGTAGTGGGGTCAAACTCCGTTAAATCCCAAGGGAATGGAGGGGCGCTGCACAAGAAACATGAATTTACACCTGAAAAGCTGCCAGCATGGGTCAGATTTTTTTTTTTTTTAACTATAGAATTAAAAAGCAATTTCAGGATTCCCTGCCAGCAAATTGAAAAGCAGCAGCCCTATCGTGAGGACCAAGCCCCTTTATATCCTTATCGGCACGAACAAACATTTCACACGTTACAATTAAACAATTCACAGATGACAGAGCAAATGCTCAGGGATACCAAGACGGTGGAAACTTGTTAAACACAAATGGCACAAAAACGGTGCGTCTTCTGCAGGCCTCCTGCTTTAATGGTCCATAACAGAGTCTGCAGCGCAGTTTTCACTGTGTTCTGGCATCTTTAGTTTTGGCTTGCAGGGAATGCATCCCCTCACTACATTTACTCCTTTAACTATTCAAATCATGGCACCTGCAGCTAACTCTTGGCAGACAGAAGACAGATGGTAGAGCTGAACCTGTATTCTTTGTACAACAGCTATTAGTATATTACTCTGAACTATATTACTCATTTTTTTTTTGCTCCTTCTAACTCCAAAGCATCTGATACCTTATCCAGTCAGGGTCTAGACTACAGGCTTTGTTCCAAAAAACTTCCCCTGCATCTAAACTGCTACTGCATTCTTTCTAAAGTAAATCAAAAGAATGTGGCCATTTTTTTGACTGAGGAAAACTTTGTTTTATGAGGAATAACACCTTTTTTCAAAAGTGCTCTTTTGAAAAAAGGCGCTATGTAATGCAAACTGTGCTTTTTCGAAAGACAGCATCCAGACTGCCTGGGTGCTCTCTTTCGAAAAAGCACCTTGCTTTTTCGAAAGTGCTGATTGTAGTCTAGACGCTCATTTTCAAAAGAGGCTTTTTGGAAAGTATCTTTTGAAAAAGCCTCTTTCAAAAGAGGCTTTCAGACTAGACATAGCCTCAGAGAGAGTACACTGGTCTTACCCGCATGGCAATCCATCTGTTCCTGTGTGCTTAGATACATGCTGAATTGACAGAATTTCTTAAATGGGTGTGCTATTTATCAAACGAGCGTGCCATCGTAAGGTGTAGTTCTCTGAATTAATGGCAGAGTTTTGGTTGTGCCAACACTCCATGTATAAACAACCGGTCTCATTATATGCTGAAACATGTGGTTAAAATTCTAGCCTTTTTCTGGAAGATTAGTGGCTGCTTTTTCAGTCCAACTTCAAGACAGTCTGTTATTTGTCAAAAGTGTTATTAACTTAAGATAGGCATCAGTGAAAATACTTTTCTTCCTAAGCCTTCTCCTTCAGGGAACACACAACATAACAGCTTCTGAGGACCGGCAGCTCACCTGGGATCTGACTGCAGAGATAAAGAGAATTGCTCATTAAGATTAAAGCATCTTAACTGTGCTCATAACCGGCCTCTCAGAGATAGAAATGAAGGAACATCAGTCCATCATTTAAAGAAACAGCTCTGCAGTTCGACACTAGGAATTAAGATATCACTCAGAGAGAGACAGTGGTGGGGGAAGAAAAATCAATCGGCGAGTGTGATGGGTCACAGTTAACTGTTCTCTGTTCTCACTAAAAGCCAATTTATAAGGCTAGATAAATCCACTCTGGTTATGCTCCTGAGTATATCAAACTCCAATACAAACACAACACAGACCTAATGTTCAGCTGTTAGGCTCTCAAGAAATGCTCTGCATTAAGAGTGCAATGCGCATGAAAGAATATGGCACAAGTCTCTTACCCCGAGAGTCTTAAAAAGGAAAACACAGAGAGGAGAAAAAAAACCATTGTAGTTCAGCTGGGGCAATTTATAGAGTTAGTGACAGGGAATGACTTCTCCCGTAATGTATGAACCAGGCAGCTCCACTGATCTTCCACTGAGTGGCAGATCATTGATTTAAGGGGCAATCAAAACTCTAGGTCATGCAATTAATTATTTTTAAACAAGAGCGGGGGAGGGAGGGGGGGTTCAAGACATATAACTATGCCCTAAAGGAGGACAACTCACACTCCCTTTGTGATCCATTTGTAATCAGAACAAGGCAAGGAGCCAAAAAAGAAATCAGGTGCATTTATACCCAGAAAGCAGAAAGAGGTGAAAACTGGGGACACTTTCAGCCTGACCGTTAGAAGAGGAAGAACGCCTGCTGTCAGCCCACTTTCAACAGAAAAGCCCCCCAAAGGCCATCAGAAAACAGCATACCTCTTCCAGTTGCTCTCAGGTGAACAGCTTCCAAAATCCATGTTGTGGGGCCAGGGACGCAAACTGGTTTGAAGAAGCTAGAGCAACTGCAGCTACTTGGAGAGACAGAAGATAGCACAAGCTGTAATTAAAAGAGTCCGAAGGCTCTTTTTTTAAAGTGATTTAAAGAGCTAGAATCCCACTTTGGTTTTGTTGCTCCCCTAGGAGCGATCTTCTCTCACTCCAGCCCATCAGCTGCAGCAGTACAGCAGAGTCTGCAGAGCCGGCTGGCAATACAGTGAGCGGGGGGTAAGCAGCAAGCACGCTTACCCGGCGGCGGCAGCAACAACAAATTGTAAATGGAAGCTATGAGGCCTAGGCACGGAGGCTAGCAAGCCATGAAGCGTGAGCTGCGACGCTGGCGAACATGTCGACGAGGTGACCCGGAGCATACGAGGAGCAGGAGGGAGCGAAAGGACACTCGCAATCCACAAATGCTTTCCAGCTTTTTCAGGTTGGGATCAGGTTTCTTCAGCTCTGTTCTAGTTGCTAAAATGCTGCATCTCTTTAATATCAGTGGAGCTGACCCTGAAGCCTAGGGCAGATCCCTCACTGAAATTTGCTGGCGTTTTGGCCAGTAAGCGGTCCAAACACAGTGAGGGGTAAAGGACCCTGCAGCTGAAACAGATACAATTCCCATGCTTTCGGCCTGGCAAGCACGTAGATGAGGCCTTAGTTTATCATCATCTTGGCCCCTTGTCATTTACATCTGTTCACGGGGACTTGGAAAAGCTCCCCCTCTGATCTGGAAGCACTGATTCTGCCCACGGCAGTAAGGAATCAAACCCAACATATGCACTGATTTCTAAATGCGCCTATTACAACAATACTTGCTCTTCCTTGGGTTTCCCAGGCTACTCCTTCAGCAAGTAAAGTCGGTCCTTCAATTGTTCTTGCAATGGATCTCGGAATTCCACTGTACAACATTCCTTAAAGCGACAATGTCTCCATTTCCTTAACGAAAGCTCATCATCTAATAAACCATCTTGTTAGTCTTTAAAGTGCTACATTGTCCTGCATTTTGCTTCCATTTCCTTAGGCATGGCAGTTATGATAGAAGCATGTTTCCTAACTGTGCTGGGTCGTTTTCTCACTTTTGCCCTAGCAAATAGCTCCTGGAGATTTCCTGTAAAGTACTGAATATTGAATCAGCACACTTCAGTCCTGGTTTTGCCAAATCTTGAGTTTAAAAAAAGGGAGTGGAGAAGCAGGAAAAGAAAGAATGTTCCTCCTCTTTCTTGTTGGGGATTTCTTGAAATTGCAGGAAAATTGCAAAAAATGCTTGCTTGAATTTGAGATTGTGAACCAGTTCCAAGCTCCTGAGATAATTAGCAGCTTAGAAACGAATGAAGAAAACCAGCGGAATGGAGGAACTAAGAGATGGGAAGAAAGAGTCACTCGTTACTTGTGGGTTTCATTCACATTCCAGAACAAATCCATCAACTGTAGAGACGGGCCCACACTGCAACGTTGAGATTGAGGGGCAAAGTTCTCACTTTCTGATCCATCTTTTGGCTTCCTGTTGCTTGTGCTGTGAGCGGAGCTCTTGGTAACATCAACAGGCACTCCTAGCAGAGAACCAGCGTATTATAACACCACATTATAGAGGAGAGTTCTGCATAATGGAGAATTTAGACCTAAATTTGGAGTCTCTCCATTCTCCTTGGATTGAAATAGCTTCCATTAATTTACAATAACTTCTTGACACCCATCTGGCTCAGAGAATTTGAGAGAAAGCAAATTTGGAGCCAAATTTCCACAGGAGTCAAGCATCCAGAGTTTCCATTTGCAGCATCTACTGACCCTTCTAAAAATCAGTCCCTCTAAAATATCTGGGGCCTGATCCAAAATCTAGTAATTCCTCTTGACTCCAAATGAGCTTCAGATTACAATTGTTGCACTGCTCCGGAATACTGGTAACCTTCCTGTCTGCCTCTGATTCTTCTTTCCAAATTCACTTGGAGCACAGATGTAATTTCCTGAGCTAGCTAGCCCCCTTCCTCTGGTGGGGGTAAACCATCAGCTGTAAGTTGCTAGTTAAATATGTTCCTTGGAAAAGCCTGGCACAAAAGCACTTTGCAAAACAGAGGTAAAATGCCAGAGATCCAGGCCTCCAATCTAACCGGAGACGCGGTGCTTTCTTTTAGAAGTCTCGGGGAACATCTACACAGCAGCGTTGTTTCAAAACAAGCTATTGCGGAATAAAAACTCTGAAACGGCGTATTTCAAAATAGCGCGTCTCCACTGCCAAGGCCCATCAAAATAGTGTTGAGCTGTATTGAAATAGCCTCAATCATATTTGAGGCCCCCCTGGAAGTACTTTGAGCAGGGCAGCAGGACAGAAATCACTTTCTGGAGCTGTGAATTGAGGCTGTCTGAGGCTTGTGCTTAAAGGGCCGCCCTGTACAGCCGTGTCTCAGGCTCCTCTCCTTCACCTACCTCCACGAGGGACAGCAAACCCATTCCACTGCCTGCTCTAGTTGCCCTTGCAGACACCACAGCACTCGGCCATGGAGCCAGCCCTGCTGCAAAGCAGTCTCCAGCTCCTGGACCTCCAGGTGCAGTTACTGCAAGCTGCCCTCGTGGCACCGCAGAACCAGGACCTGCCATGCCTGGGGGCACCTCCTCACCTCCCTCCACGTGCTACACATGCAGCACAGCCCCTCCCACCCTGCTCTGCGCACCGGGCTTCCGCCAGTTCCGACTGGTGGGACCGAATCGTCATGGGAAAACCAGCAGTGGCTCCAAAATTTCCACATATGGAAGGCCACCTTCCTGGAGTGTAAGTGGCTCATCCCTGCCCTCAGGTGACAGGGCACCCACTTGCGACTCGCCATCCCCCTCTAAAAACGGGTCGGCATCATATTTTGGAAGTTGCCGTGCCAGACAGCTACCGCTCCATCTGGAACCAGTTCGGCAGGGGGAGATCGACCATCGGGGCCGTGCTCATGCAGGTATGACTCTATTGGGAGAGGGGTGAACTGTTGGAACGGCTGAAGTCTCCCTCCACCTCAATGCGGGCCCTGTGGGGCCTGCCATTGAAATGTTCCTTGCTGGGGTCCAGGTGTCAGCGTAGGACTTCATAAGCCCGGGCAGCAAAGGGCAGGCTGCATGCCCCACAATGCACATGGGCATGTCCACGTCCCTGACTTTGATGGTGTGCTCAGGGAAAGATGTGCCGGTAGGCAGCTTCTGGTAGAGGCTAGAGTTGCGGAAGAGCTGGTGGTGGTGGAAGCTCCCTTCCCAGGAGGTTTTCCAGTCCCGGCGTCACAAAGCCCTGCCGGGGGAAGGGGTTAGTTGAGGCTGGGCCTGGTATGGTGGGGGAAGAGCAGTTGGTCTCAGGGACCTCTCAAGGGCTCCTGCAACCCTGTGATTCTCTGTCTCGTTCTCCGGGCGGTGAGGGCCATCAACGCCATCCTACTGCGCAGGGTCGTCCTCCTGGGCGACATGGACCCCATCGTCGCCAGCTTTGCCGCCATGGGCTTCCCCGACTGCGGGGGCACCACTGGCTGCACCCACATTCCCATCCGGGCCCCTGACCATCAGGCATCGCCCGCAAGGGGTGCTTTTCCATGGTCCTGCAGGCCATCGTGGACCACCATGGATATTGATGTGGGGCGGCTGGAGAAGGTGCATGCCGCCCAGGTCTTCTGCAACTCTAGCCTCTACCAGAAGCTGCCCACTGGCACATTTTTCCCTGAACACACCATCAAGGTCAGGGACGTGGACATGCCCATGTGCATTGTGGGGCATGCAGCCTGCCCTTTGCTGCCCGGGCTTATGAAGTCCTACACTGGACACCTGGATCCCAGCAAGGAACAGAGCCCGCACTGTGGTGGAGGGTGACTTCAGCCGTTTGAAATGGAGGTTCCACTGTCTCCTCACCCAGCTGGGCTGCAGTGACCAGAACGTCCCACATGTGGGGGTGGTGTGTTGTGTCCTGCACAACCTGTGCAAGAACAAGGGTTCTGCCAGGGTGGAGGGGCAGAGGCTGAATAACTCACCAGAGCTATGGGTGTGCTATTTATCAAACGAGCGTGCCATCGTAAGGTGTAGTTCTCTGAATTAATGGCAGAGTTTTGGTTGTGCCAACACTCCATGTATAAACAACCGGTCTCATTATATGCTGAAACATGTGGTTAAAATTCTAGCCTTTTTCTGGAAGATTAGTGGCTGCTTTTTCAGTCCAACTTCAAGACAGTCTGTTATTTGTCAAAAGTGTTATTAACTTAAGATAGGCATCAGTGAAAATACTTTTCTTCCTAAGCCTTCTCCTTCAGGGAACACACAACATAACAGCTTCTGAGGACCGGCAGCTCACCTGGGATCTGACTGCAGAGATAAAGAGAATTGCTCATTAAGATTAAAGCATCTTAACTGTGCTCATAACCGGCCTCTCAGAGATAGAAATGAAGGAACATCAGTCCATCATTTAAAGAAACAGCTCTGCAGTTCGACACTAGGAATTAAGATATCACTCAGAGAGAGACAGTGGTGGGGGAAGAAAAATCAATCGGCGAGTGTGATGGGTCACAGTTAACTGTTCTCTGTTCTCACTAAAAGCCAATTTATAAGGCTAGATAAATCCACTCTGGTTATGCTCCTGAGTATATCAAACTCCAATACAAACACAACACAGACCTAATGTTCAGCTGTTAGGCTCTCAAGAAATGCTCTGCATTAAGAGTGCAATGCGCATGAAAGAATATGGCACAAGTCTCTTACCCCGAGAGTCTTAAAAAGGAAAACACAGAGAGGAGAAAAAAAACCATTGTAGTTCAGCTGGGGCAATTTATAGAGTTAGTGACAGGGAATGACTTCTCCCGTAATGTATGAACCAGGCAGCTCCACTGATCTTCCACTGAGTGGCAGATCATTGATTTAAGGGGCAATCAAAACTCTAGGTCATGCAATTAATTATTTTTAAACAAGAGCGGGGGAGGGAGGGGGGGTTCAAGACATATAACTATGCCCTAAAGGAGGACAACTCACACTCCCTTTGTGATCCATTTGTAATCAGAACAAGGCAAGGAGCCAAAAAAGAAATCAGGTGCATTTATACCCAGAAAGCAGAAAGAGGTGAAAACTGGGGACACTTTCAGCCTGACCGTTAGAAGAGGAAGAACGCCTGCTGTCAGCCCACTTTCAACAGAAAAGCCCCCCAAAGGCCATCAGAAAACAGCATACCTCTTCCAGTTGCTCTCAGGTGAACAGCTTCCAAAATCCATGTTGTGGGGCCAGGGACGCAAACTGGTTTGAAGAAGCTAGAGCAACTGCAGCTACTTGGAGAGACAGAAGATAGCACAAGCTGTAATTAAAAGAGTCCGAAGGCTCTTTTTTTAAAGTGATTTAAAGAGCTAGAATCCCACTTTGGTTTTGTTGCTCCCCTAGGAGCGATCTTCTCTCACTCCAGCCCATCAGCTGCAGCAGTACAGCAGAGTCTGCAGAGCCGGCTGGCAATACAGTGAGCGGGGGGTAAGCAGCAAGCACGCTTACCCGGCGGCGGCAGCAACAACAAATTGTAAATGGAAGCTATGAGGCCTAGGCACGGAGGCTAGCAAGCCATGAAGCGTGAGCTGCGACGCTGGCGAACATGTCGACGAGGTGACCCGGAGCATACGAGGAGCAGGAGGGAGCGAAAGGACACTCGCAATCCACAAATGCTTTCCAGCTTTTTCAGGTTGGGATCAGGTTTCTTCAGCTCTGTTCTAGTTGCTAAAATGCTGCATCTCTTTAATATCAGTGGAGCTGACCCTGAAGCCTAGGGCAGATCCCTCACTGAAATTTGCTGGCGTTTTGGCCAGTAAGCGGTCCAAACACAGTGAGGGGTAAAGGACCCTGCAGCTGAAACAGATACAATTCCCATGCTTTCGGCCTGGCAAGCACGTAGATGAGGCCTTAGTTTATCATCATCTTGGCCCCTTGTCATTTACATCTGTTCACGGGGACTTGGAAAAGCTCCCCCTCTGATCTGGAAGCACTGATTCTGCCCACGGCAGTAAGGAATCAAACCCAACATATGCACTGATTTCTAAATGCGCCTATTACAACAATACTTGCTCTTCCTTGGGTTTCCCAGGCTACTCCTTCAGCAAGTAAAGTCGGTCCTTCAATTGTTCTTGCAATGGATCTCGGAATTCCACTGTACAACATTCCTTAAAGCGACAATGTCTCCATTTCCTTAACGAAAGCTCATCATCTAATAAACCATCTTGTTAGTCTTTAAAGTGCTACATTGTCCTGCATTTTGCTTCCATTTCCTTAGGCATGGCAGTTATGATAGAAGCATGTTTCCTAACTGTGCTGGGTCGTTTTCTCACTTTTGCCCTAGCAAATAGCTCCTGGAGATTTCCTGTAAAGTACTGAATATTGAATCAGCACACTTCAGTCCTGGTTTTGCCAAATCTTGAGTTTAAAAAAAGGGAGTGGAGAAGCAGGAAAAGAAAGAATGTTCCTCCTCTTTCTTGTTGGGGATTTCTTGAAATTGCAGGAAAATTGCAAAAAATGCTTGCTTGAATTTGAGATTGTGAACCAGTTCCAAGCTCCTGAGATAATTAGCAGCTTAGAAACGAATGAAGAAAACCAGCGGAATGGAGGAACTAAGAGATGGGAAGAAAGAGTCACTCGTTACTTGTGGGTTTCATTCACATTCCAGAACAAATCCATCAACTGTAGAGACGGGCCCACACTGCAACGTTGAGATTGAGGGGCAAAGTTCTCACTTTCTGATCCATCTTTTGGCTTCCTGTTGCTTGTGCTGTGAGCGGAGCTCTTGGTAACATCAACAGGCACTCCTAGCAGAGAACCAGCGTATTATAACACCACATTATAGAGGAGAGTTCTGCATAATGGAGAATTTAGACCTAAATTTGGAGTCTCTCCATTCTCCTTGGATTGAAATAGCTTCCATTAATTTACAATAACTTCTTGACACCCATCTGGCTCAGAGAATTTGAGAGAAAGCAAATTTGGAGCCAAATTTCCACAGGAGTCAAGCATCCAGAGTTTCCATTTGCAGCATCTACTGACCCTTCTAAAAATCAGTCCCTCTAAAATATCTGGGGCCTGATCCAAAATCTAGTAATTCCTCTTGACTCCAAATGAGCTTCAGATTACAATTGTTGCACTGCTCCGGAATACTGGTAACCTTCCTGTCTGCCTCTGATTCTTCTTTCCAAATTCACTTGGAGCACAGATGTAATTTCCTGAGCTAGCTAGCCCCCTTCCTCTGGTGGGGGTAAACCATCAGCTGTAAGTTGCTAGTTAAATATGTTCCTTGGAAAAGCCTGGCACAAAAGCACTTTGCAAAACAGAGGTAAAATGCCAGAGATCCAGGCCTCCAATCTAACCGGAGACGCGGTGCTTTCTTTTAGAAGTCTCGGGGAACATCTACACAGCAGCGTTGTTTCAAAACAAGCTATTGCGGAATAAAAACTCTGAAACGGCGTATTTCAAAATAGCGCGTCTCCACTGCCAAGGCCCATCAAAATAGTGTTGAGCTGTATTGAAATAGCCTCAATCATATTTGAGGCCCCCCTGGAAGTACTTTGAGCAGGGCAGCAGGACAGAAATCACTTTCTGGAGCTGTGAATTGAGGCTGTCTGAGGCTTGTGCTTAAAGGGCCGCCCTGTACAGCCGTGTCTCAGGCTCCTCTCCTTCACCTACCTCCACGAGGGACAGCAAACCCATTCCACTGCCTGCTCTAGTTGCCCTTGCAGACACCACAGCACTCGGCCATGGAGCCAGCCCTGCTGCAAAGCAGTCTCCAGCTCCTGGACCTCCAGGTGCAGTTACTGCAAGCTGCCCTCGTGGCACCGCAGAACCAGGACCTGCCATGCCTGGGGGCACCTCCTCACCTCCCTCCACGTGCTACACATGCAGCACAGCCCCTCCCACCCTGCTCTGCGCACCGGGCTTCCGCCAGTTCCGACTGGTGGGACCGAATCGTCATGGGAAAACCAGCAGTGGCTCCAAAATTTCCACATATGGAAGGCCACCTTCCTGGAGTGTAAGTGGCTCATCCCTGCCCTCAGGTGACAGGGCACCCACTTGCGACTCGCCATCCCCCTCTAAAAACGGGTCGGCATCATATTTTGGAAGTTGCCGTGCCAGACAGCTACCGCTCCATCTGGAACCAGTTCGGCAGGGGGAGATCGACCATCGGGGCCGTGCTCATGCAGGTATGACTCTATTGGGAGAGGGGTGAACTGTTGGAACGGCTGAAGTCTCCCTCCACCTCAATGCGGGCCCTGTGGGGCCTGCCATTGAAATGTTCCTTGCTGGGGTCCAGGTGTCAGCGTAGGACTTCATAAGCCCGGGCAGCAAAGGGCAGGCTGCATGCCCCACAATGCACATGGGCATGTCCACGTCCCTGACTTTGATGGTGTGCTCAGGGAAAGATGTGCCGGTAGGCAGCTTCTGGTAGAGGCTAGAGTTGCGGAAGAGCTGGTGGTGGTGGAAGCTCCCTTCCCAGGAGGTTTTCCAGTCCCGGCGTCACAAAGCCCTGCCGGGGGAAGGGGTTAGTTGAGGCTGGGCCTGGTATGGTGGGGGAAGAGCAGTTGGTCTCAGGGACCTCTCAAGGGCTCCTGCAACCCTGTGATTCTCTGTCTCGTTCTCCGGGCGGTGAGGGCCATCAACGCCATCCTACTGCGCAGGGTCGCGCCCGGAGAACGAGACAGAGAATCACAGGGTTGCAGGAGCCCTTGAGAGGTCCCTGAGACCAACTGCTCTTCCCCCACCATACCAGGCCCAGCCTCAACTAACCCCTTCCCCCGGCAGGGCTTTGTGACGCCGGGACTGGAAAACCTCCTGGGAAGGGAGCTTCCACCACCACCAGCTCTTCCGCAACTCTAGCCTCTACCAGAAGCTGCCCACTGGCACATTTTTCCCTGAACACACCATCAAGGTCAGGGACGTGGACATGCCCATGTGCATTGTGGGGCATGCAGCCTGCCCTTTGCTGCCCGGGCTTATGAAGTCCTACACTGGACACCTGGATCCCAGCAAGGAACAGAGCCCGCACTGTGGTGGAGGGTGACTTCAGCCGTTTGAAATGGAGGTTCCACTGTCTCCTCACCCAGCTGGGCTGCAGTGACCAGAACGTCCCACATGTGGGGGTGGTGTGTGGGGGGTCAGAGGCCGAGCAGCTCGCCATGGCTTTTGAGCAGCTGCGCACAGCTGCCATCTGGCAGGCCCATCAGGGAGCTGTGCACATCCGGGAGGCCCTGAGGCAGAGTTTCAGACAAGGACACCTGTGAGATTCTCCCCTGGGCCTTCTCACAAGGGGCCTCTATAGTGCCCCTCTGTGCCTTTCCTCCTCCACCCCTCCCATCCCCTGCCCTCCCTGCACCTCTTCCTCCCCCCTTGCTCTCTCATTGCCTGCAGATATAATAAAGTAGACTTTGTGGTTTGAAACAATGAACTCCCTTTTATTTTATCTGACTAAATAAATCTGGGGAGGGACTGGGGAAAGAACCTGGGGGGAAGAGAGAGGTGGAAGAGGGAGGAATGGGGAGGTGGGGCTCAGGGATGGGTCTGAGAGTGGCACCTGCCTCTGGTGGTCCCATTGCCTCTTGTGTGGGGGACTGGAGGGTCACTGGGGGAGGCGAGGGGGAGAAGTCAGAGGGGCAGGGGTGGGAGCGGAAGCTGGACCGCTCAATGGCAGTCACCAGGTGGTCGACGGAAGCGCGGGTCTCTTGTGCCAGCTCCTGCCAGGTGGTGCTCCTGATCCACTTCCCACTGTTGGTCCTGCACTCCAGAGACCGCTGGAGGCCACGCAGGCAGGTGACACGTGCTCCCACGGGGTCGGGAGGCTGGCGCGGGAGGTGTTGCAGGTGCCTCACTCCCAGCTGGCCCCGCTCTGAAGAACAAAGAAAAGGGCAGTCACTCCAAGTGACAGGCTGCCTGAAGCCAGCCCTCCTCTCTGACCCGACTCGGAAAGGTCTCTGTTCAGACAATGAGCTTAGAGCAAGGCCTCTGTGGCCTACACAGCAGGCCCCTTCCTGCAGAGGAACAGATGTTCCCCGGGGGAGCCTCGCTACCCACATGTGCCAGGGAAAAGCAGGCATGAGAAGGTGCCAGCCGGGCCAGGAGCTTGCGGGTGGGGGGACGATGGAGCAGCTCGGCTTTCCTCCATGCCGTGCACGTGCTGGGTCTGGCAGTGGTGGCATCCCGCAGGGAGAGGAATTCTATCCCTGCCCACTGGAGAAGAAGGGGAGGGAGGATGTAAGTGACTAAGCGACAGCAAAAGCTTCTTAGATAGTCAACACACTAGTCGACTAGCCGCTCCCCCCGCTGCTGCCTCTATCAGAAACTCCAGTGCTCACCCACCATCAGCTTCCTGCTCGGTTACCACCAGCTTCCTGCTTAGCCGCCACCTGCTCCCCCGGCTCTACCTTCCAATGGTGCCAGATGCATCCCTCCAGAAGCTGATGGTAGCTCTTGTACATTTCAGAGTGGACATACTCAGAGTCTCCCACTGGCCCCAGGCTCCATGCAGCGTTTCAATCCTGCTGGGGCTCTTGTACATCTCGAAGGCGGAACACCCCGCAGCACTTCCTCCTTTGAAAAGTAGCAACAGCAGAAGCACCCATATCGACTAATCGAATATTCGCTGGAAATTCCATCGACTATTCGATTCGTTGATTCATCTAGTTTTCACAGCCCTGGGGGAAGAAAGAGGAGAAGAGTTATGCATCAGTGACAAATGCCACTTGCCAGGGAGGGTGCTTCCGGGGTCCCCTCCACTTCCTTCCCCTCCCAAAAGGCTCCCCTAGCAGGGTGCTTGCCCGGGAGCAGAGGCTGCCCCGCAAGTGCAGGCCTCGCTGCGTGCCGTGTGCAGCTGCTGTCTGTGTGTGTCCATGACCCCCGACTCCGTAGTAGCGGCTTGTGGGAGGAGGGTGTGTCACTGCAGAGTTGGGAGTAAGGCCGGCCTCTCCACAAACCCTGTGAGCAGAAGCACAAGGATCCCCTATGGCCGCCTCCTGGGCTGTGCCCTGGACTGGCGCT